AGGCAGTTCTGGCCCAGCGCCGCGAAGGCATCCTGCAGCCGGTTAACGAGCGGGATGAGCCCCTCCATCCCGCCGCCGCCTCCTCCTCCTCCGCCCGCCGCCGCCGCTGACAGGTAACGGCCGGCGCACTGCGCACGCGCCCCGCCCTCCGCGAGCTTGGGGGCGGGGCCTCCGCAGGGAGGCCACGCCCCCTCCCGTGAGGGTCCCGGTGCGGATCCCACGGCTGTCCCACAATTATTCCACAATTATCCCCAAATTATCCCAAAATCCCTTCTTCCCCCCGTTGTGTCAAAGGCCCACACACGCTCAGAGTCAAGGGGTTGGATTTATTTCTAATTCTGCGCGGAAAGAGGGCTCGGTGGCACATCCACAAAGCCAGAACGAGGATTGTCAGAAGTTTTCCCTTTTTGTGGATTTTAACAAACCAAGGCGTTGATGTTTATTGGCTACAAGTTATCTAGTTCGCTTATTAATTACTGTTCTGTCTGCTGTCGGTTAATGATCCTCTTGGTTCCAATGTTAATTAGTCTGCATGCTCAGTCTTTCTCTTGAGTCAGTGGGGTTTTTGGGTCGGTGGCCACAATTTGCCCCTGCCAGAATTACCTCTTACCCAGCCAGACCTGATTTCAGCACAGTTGCTCAGATGTTTTTATTAGTTTCTTCCTTATTTTGGATGTTCTGCCACATATCCTTGTAGCCCCTAAATTCTGCGTTCTTTGTGTCATTTAAGAACGGTACACCCTTCTTCCCTTTGGTAACCTCCCCCGAGGTCTGAGATAATCGAAATATGTCGAGCCCTAAACCTTAACAAAGCAATTCTACCGACAAGTAATTTGTCTTTCTACCACCTGGACATCACTTTGGGTTTGCTTGCTGGGGATTGCTTTTTCACAGATTGTCCAGAGAGGCTGTGGAGTGTCCCTCACTGGAGATATCCCAGAACCAACTGGACACGATGCTCTGGGATAACCGTGCTTGAGCTGGGAGATCGGACCAGAAGCCCCCTGACCCATTCTTTGACTCTGTTCCTGCCTGGGGACAAGGCCACCTCGGTGCTGGGACACTTGGGCACGAAGAGCACGGTTCACCCAGGTCTGTGCACTGACCATGAGACCACCACGGTGCTCCTCTCCCCCAGGAGCCCCAACCCCAGCTGGCCACCCCATCCTGCTGCTGGGAAGGGCTGTGACAAAGCTCAGGCACAGGCAGGAGTGCTGCCTGTGTGTCAGGCACGTCCCGAGGAGGAGCTGGATCCAGCAGGGCTGGCAGCAGGTGCATGGCTCAGGAGCAGGCTGGGAAGCGACAGCAAAGTCCAAGCCAGCAGCGGGTTCAATTAAAAATGCACACTGAGGCTGAGCTAAAAGCTCAGGCACACAACAGAGATGAGATTTAGCTGCGATTACTGGCAGCAGTCACATCATGAAAATATCCAAAACGCAGGCTTTGGAGTCCTGCAGCGATAAAAGTTATCCTCTCTATTAAAGCAGACACTGGCCTCGCTCAGCGTGAAAAACAAAACAAAAGGGAACTGTGAACATCCTGCAGGCTGATGGAGACTAATGATCTGGAGGATTATCAAAACTTCTTGGCCAGAGCTCTCAATAAGTGTAAAAAATTACTCCACAAAAGACCGACCTATAACTCTGGAAACAGTTTTTAATCGGCATAAGGAGGAGACGGCTTCTCCTCGCTGCTGCAGTTAGATCACAGCCTCTGGGAAAAGCCTTGCCATCATTTCTGTCTAGTTGGGAACCTGGGAGTTATTGACATAATTATGCCAATTAGCAGCATGATTATTTCTTTCCCCGCTCCTGGGCGAGCAAGCAATGCCAGGAGGCACTGGAGTAGATGCCTGGCCTTCCTCCAGTTCATGGGTTTCTATGGAGGCTGGAAGTTGGGAAGAACATTATGAGTATCAGAGCACTTTGTGCTGCCCCCATGCAATAATTAAGATCCGTAGAAGAGCAGCCTGGCCACAGGATTGCATCTCCACATGAGACAAATGAAGATTGAGAAAGGCACGATGCCTGGGGAGCAGCAACATGCACACCTTCAAATTGATAACCCGGGGAACTGTGCTTTCAGTGAGGTCTTCAAATTACAGCTTTGTCTGCTTCCATGATTAAAATAAAATAAACTAGGAAAACAACTAAGATTAGGAAAAGTTTTGAGTTATTCCCCCAAGTCTTGGAAGTTCCCGAACCAAACTTTTTTGTTTGGTGAAGCAGAGTTAAAGCCACTAAGTGCCCACATTCACCTTGCAACTCTATCACTTACAAAACTCCACTCTCCCCGCTCCAGGAAAAAAAAAAAAAAAGCCACAAGTACAGATCCCCCACCTTCTGGAAAAAGCACAAACTATTTAATTATGGGTGCTTGTGTTATCATGAGAGATTTTCCTCATTTTTCCAACAACTCCAAGAGAGCAGGGAAGGAGAGAGGAGAGGGACCCAAACATATCTTTAGGTCTGTTTTTCCTGACTGACTTCTCTAGGCAGCTTGTTCCACCCCCCCAGGCAGAGCCCAGCCTGGCTTTTTGAATTTACCAAGATCCAGAGCAGCTAAATTAAAGCAAACAGGGGTGCTACTGGCAGAGACCATTGTAAAGCTTCTTGTAACAACTTGGAAATACAAGACCCAAATCTGTGTCAGGGGGCCATGCAAGAAATTATTCCTTGGGGGAGCATTAGGTGCAATCCCTAGGAGCACAGAGCTGTGCTGCTCACTGCTTAAACACAATCTGATTTTACCCTGCTGTGCTCAGTTGTGCCTCACAATATCTATCATTTTCTTTTGCTGCATAAGCAAGGAGAGAAAACCTCTGCTAAGCACCTTTCCTGGCACGGCAGGAATAGTGGGTGCCCTGCTCCCCAAGGTGACATCCTGACTCCTAAAGCATGGTCTGATGTCACATGTCACCAGCTCCAGCACAGCCTGCCTGGGATGCCCAGTCACAGCCTCCAGTGCAATTTCAGATCAAGGCTACAGACAGAAAGCTTGTCCTGCCACGACTTCCAGAAAAATATATGGCAAAAATAGCCTGGCTTCAGGGTGCAGCTGAACCCACAAACTCACACACAGACACTTCTCCCAAACCAGGCAGCGTGATGATAAAACTGAGGACATTTGGACCAGGTCCCCAGGCTGCTTCATAAACACACACCAGTGCAATTCCCTTCAGGAGAAATGAGTTATATATAAACCAGAGAGAGACTCGCAGATGCCTGCGCTGAAGAGCCAGTCACGCTGCCCTGCCCGGGGAGAGCAGAGCACAGCAGAGGCTGCATCCTCTCCCCTGAGAAAAGGCAGGTTCCTTCAACCTTCCTCACCTCCTTCTCGCTTCAGACACAAACCCAGAGTTTCTGCAGAGCTTTTCAGGCACAGAGCAGGAGCAGGTGTGGGCAAGGAGCCTGTGCAAGAGGGAGCTCCCAGGTTCTGGGCAGCACTTGGCTCTGCAGCGGAGCTGCATGAAGATGCCACTCAGCATTATGCCTGTGCATCTGCCAGGACCAGAGCTCAGACCTTGAAGCTGCAAAAGATGGAATTCAAGCCCGTGAAAGAAAGCCAGAGTGGCTGCAGCATTTCTCCATATAAAGTGGATGTGTTTTCTGCCTTCCCCCCACAGCCCAGGGCACTGCTGACTCACTGATGGCAGGACAACCCAGTCCCTGTCCCATCTCTCCTCTCTCCTGCCCTATGACCTCCAGCTGCATTTTTCAGCCGGGTGTATCCAATTGCAGGGTAGAGAAAGGGCACCGTGCTGCATTGCAGCCTGCAGAGATGTTTCCCTGCAGCCCTGAGCACCCCAGGAAAGAGCTGCACTCCCTCCCTGCAGCCTGGCAGCATGCCTGCTTCCTTGGCCACAAAGCCAAGGGCTTCTCCAAGGGAAGATTTCATGGACAAAACACTTGCCACGTGCTTCCAGCCTCTGGGAGTGGCTGTTGCAGCCCTTGTTGTGCTGGACCATGCCATGCAGCATCCCCAGGCAGTGGGGCCAAGGCTTTGCCCAGCTCAAGGGAATCAGCCCAGGGCTCAATCCCTGCAGCTTTTGTTGCTGAAAATCTCTCCCAGCTGCTTGCTGTACTTTGAGCTGATGACAGTATGTCCCTCATCCACCTCCACCCTGTTCCCGAGAGGGAACTGGAGTGTCATTCCCTTTTCCCTTCTGCAGAACCAGGACTTGGGCTGTGACACCATATGGGGTGTACTTGTGGCACCCCATCAGTGCCTGCCCACAGCCACCCTGGGCCAAAAAACCTCTCTGCATCCTTCCACCCAAACTCAGGAAACTCAGGGCTGACCCACCAACTACCAGGGTCTCATTCATTGGAGTGGGAGCAGGACATGGATGTGATGCTCTGAGGACCAGCCCAAACCATCCCCAGCTCACACCTGAGCCGTGGGATGAGTTACACACCAGGCTCTTTTTGTGCTGGGAAAGGCAGAAAGGAAAAAGTCAACATCTCCGTGCCAGTGGAGGTTGCTAAGTGACGGCAGAGCTTGTTTCCATCCCGCCACTGACAGCGTGCCTACGCTGCAAGGGAAGGAAGTGAGGAGTAAGGGATGTAAACATGAGTACATTGCCAAAACACTCGACATATACATTAGCTTCATGTTTTGGCTGCCAGCAGAGAAATATTTACTATGTGTCAATTACTCCAGCCTTGGAGCGTTTTACCTGCAGAGGATTTGCAGCACTCGGTGAATTTGCCAGTTTTCCAGCTGAAATGAATTTTCAGACCAAAGTTGTCAAGCTATCAGTAGCTGCAAGAACAGCTGCAATGAACTGAGATTTCATCCTTACATTGTCTCTAATAGATGGCTTTTGTTTTTCCATCAGGATGTGGCGTTATGCAGCATTTTGGAAGCACAACAGAAAGGCAGGAGTGGACGGGGGGGGATAAAGGCAGCCTTTGTATGAGCTCCTGGGGAAGAAAGGAGATGGTTTTGGTAAAATAAAGGGCATGCACACACAAGCCTGTGTCATTAAGATTATGTTGAGAATTGCAAACTAAGTTAAAAATAGAGTAAATGCAGCACTGCTGATCTAGTTGAGAAATTTGCCATTGCTAAGCTAGGTGGATAATAGCTAGCTTTCAAAACAGTGCTCATCACAGAGGAGCTTTAGAAACTGCATGGGGGCAGCACACTTCAGCTCCAGCTTCAGCCTCGTTTCTCCTCCGTGCTGTCCTGAACTCACCACAGGAGGAGAATCCTGGAGGAGAATGCTCCAGAACCCACTGGAGGGGTGACTGGCTGGTGAGTGACACAGAGGGCACCTAGCCAGGCTGCCTTTATCTGAGGAAGGGAGCAGGCCAGCCCTGCTCTCCTGAGCCTGGGAACCATCAAAAACACTTATTAAAAAAAGCATCTCCCTCTGCATAGATGGAGGTTAACCCAGGGAGAAAGTAGGGCACCCATCTGTCCCTCTGTGTGAAGGGAAACAAGGGAGGAAGCATCAGAGAAGGGATCTGAACAGAGCACTTCCCAAAGTAGAACCTGCTAGCAAATTAAAATAAAAATACAGCCCCAGTTGCTGATCAGAGGGAGGTGTTTTGCTGGCAGCACAGCTCCAATGGTGCATGCTGGGCACCAACAGCCCCAGCTCCAGCATTGGTGCAGTGCCCACATGGTCCTCACTGCTTCAGGGGGCAAGAGCCTTTGTGGTGTCCTTTCCATGAACCCATGGAGCTGGGGAACTGCAAATTCTCAGGCTCACACAGCCCATCACTGTGCATTTGAAGTGGCAGAGGATTTCCCACAGATGGAGGAGAGCTGGCTCCTTCCAAGCAAGGAGAGGCCGATGAGGGGCAGCCCAAACCCTCTTGGCACAAGGTGTGTGAGCTGCAGAGCTGGGAGACGGCCCCAGCAGGAATGCTGAGACACAGATCCCTCCTGGAGCTACTTCTGGTGCGCTGTTACCTCCCTGGGCTGTGGAAAGGTGCCTGGGGAGGGTTTGCTTTGGGAAGCAGCTGCCAGAGATGTCCTCTCTCAGGCTGCCAGTGGCAGAAGGGAGCATGGAGTGAGGGTGCAGGATCAGTGGCAAAGCACCATTTTTTCACCTTGCTGTCTGCAAGCTGGTCACTTTGGTGCCGTGTCCCAAGCTCATTTTGGCACCAGCTGTTGCAGGGGAGAAAGACAAGCCCCGCAAAAATAGCTTCTGATGAATGAAAGAGAACCTGCAGGTCAGCTGTTCCATAACCAGCCAGGTCAGCTCTTGAAGGAGCTGTCTGGCCAGGACTGGGGTGCTGTGGGAACACCTCAATGAGTATTTTCTGGCTGCCCTTTCAGGAAGGGGAAATTCCTGCTATTTTCAGGAAGGCTGGCCTGCACCAGCTGGGTGAGTGGCTTGGTGTGGCCAGGACCCTGAGCCCAGGGCTGGGTCCCTGCTGGCCCTGGGGCAGAAGGGTTCTGAGCTCAGGCATTTCAGTTCAGTGGCGATGGCTGGAGAGACTGAGAAGAGGGAAAAATGTAGTGGGATGCACTTTGGGGAGGGTGAGGGGGCAGTGGGGTCCAAGGGGCAGCTGCCTGCTCCCAGGACATGCCTTTGAAGCACAGAGGTGACTGTAGGTTTTCCAGGGGTGTGGGTGTCCCAGAAATCAGCCTTAGCAAAGCACTAGAGGCCTGAGAGCACTCCTGAGCACTTTATTCTCCCAGCTCACAGCCTCCCACACACATCCACAAGCAGGCTTGGAGCAGGGCTGGGGCTCTGCAGAAACACCAGGAATGCCAGAGACGCGGGGAGAGGCACCATCAGAACGAAAGGAACTGCGCTGAAGGGGAAGAAGAGTCAGAGGGATGTTCTTCCCAAAGTGGGAAAGCAACCAGGCCAGTCCTGCCAGTCCCACAGCACCTTCCTCACCCCACCATCTGAACCCTTGGGCTGTCCAACCCTCCACGGTGCCAGAGCCCTTCCTGAGGAGCCACGCTGCAGGAAGCGCTTCCCGAGCCAGTCCCATCCTTCCAGCAGGCCCAGGCCAGCCACGGGCAGCCCCCACAGGAGGCTCAGGGTGTTGGAGCAGCAGCAGAGCCCTCTCAGAGGATGAGGACGGACTGCAGCACGTCTGCCAGGGCGTAGGAGCTGTCCCAGGGCCGCCCCGGCTGGCGCAGGGCCCCCTCCAGCGCCCGGGCCCGCGCCCCCAGCTCTGCAGGGCCGCACCGGCCCGCGGGGCCCGGCTGGCAGAACAGGATCTCGTTCACCTCCCCTCGGATGCGGCGCGCGTAGAGCAGCGGGAAGACGTCCCTGAGGGTGGCCAGGACAGATTCCTTCAGCCGGGCGTCGCGGCACACCAGGTTGAGCACGAAGATTCCTGCGGCAGGGCGAGAGGGAGGGCAGCTCAGAGCCCACCCTAAAACGTCCCCCCCTGTGCCCCTGGCTCTGCTCCATGTCCCTGCTGCCACGAGATCTGTTCTCAGGTACCGCCTACACCTTCTGCTTCCAGAAAGCTCTGCCGGCCCCCCTGGGATGTCTCAGCCTGCCTGAGCCAGCAGCACTGCAGGCCACCCACTCCATGCTGCTGTCACCGTGCCCACTGCAACACCCAGACACAGGAGAAGGGGATGCCACGCAGCAATCCTGGCTGCAGCCACGATTCTCTAGCAAGAGAAACGGTGGCACAGCCCCAGCTCCACACAGAACCGACCAGCCTGGGCACAGGGACACAGCCACATATCTCCCCTCCTACCTTCTGGCTTGAGGATGGTTTTAACTTTCTGCAGAAAGGGCTTTTCCACAAAGGCTGGGGGCGGGCAGCTCATCCCCACCGTGAGGTCTTTGCTGTCCACATCAAACATGATGGCATCATACTGGGCTGGTGCTGCAGGACAAAGCAGACAGTTGTTATCCTGTGGGACAGAGGTGAGCTACACACATGGGAAGGCCAAAGATGGGATGGTCAAGACACCCCTTCTGCCACATTATGGGTGTCTTCTCTGCTGGGGTTTCTCTTTACAAGCCCTTGGTGCTGGGGGAGACCAGAGACCTGGTGAGCCTGGAGATTGTGACACACGGCAGGAGATGGGCAGGAAGAGCAAGCAGGTGGTGACAACAGCCCAGGACCCTGCTACCCAGCGTGGCACCCACTGGGCTCGATGGGGCACCTGAAATGCTCTGAAGATGGTACCTTCAGCTGCCAGCTTGGCCACGTAGTCCAGGCCATCGCAGACGTGCACCTGCATCCGCTCACCCTGGGAGAAACCGAACCAGCGCGTGGCCACTTCCAGCATGGAGGGGTCGATCTCCACCACGGCCACGCGGGCCTGCGAGAAGTAATCGTGGACGAAGAGGGGCAGGCTGCCCCCGCCGAGCCCCACCACCAGCACTGCCAGCTCTCCTGCCAACCAAGAGCAGCGGGTGAGCCACCAGGACACCCTAACCCCACTGCTCGTCCCACCCACCGCCCCCAAACCGCTTTGGGAAGGGTGCATGGGGCACCTTGGCCAAAAGAGCCTTTCCCCAAGGGGCTGTGGCGTGGGGACACCTGCCCCCAGCACAGCCTCCCACTGCCAGCCTCGTCACCTGGGAGGGCGTCGGGGCCCCCCAGCAGGCAGAGCCCCGCAACCATGGCCTTGTGGTGCTCACAGCACAGGTAGCTCTTGTCGATGGCTCCGGGCTGCTCAGTGGGGCTGAGTTTCTTCTTGTCCTTCCTCCGCTTCTTCTGCCCTGGATAACAGGAGACACCGGCCAGTAAGGCGAGGGGAGAGATGGAGGTGCTTTCTGGGCACCACCCCCAGCCCTGTCCCACCCACGGTGTAAAAACACTCCCAGAGCTGCCCTGGGACATGACAGGGAGATGGCAGCAGGATTTCTACCTTCTTCCTGTATTGCTCTCACTCTCTGTCACCCCAAAAAAGCCTTGGCCCTTGCCCCATGTACCTGGGAGAGGTGTGGGGGCCAAGAGCCGAGCCTCTGACTGCACCACGTTCCTGTTCTGGAGGAAGATGAGGCGGCGGAAGTAGCAGGTGCCATCTCCTTTCACGTCCTCCACGACAAACTCCCCGCTCAGGGGGCTCCTGTCACAGTGCCGCACCGCCCGCACCCCGATGTCCCCTCCCACAGACAGGAAGGGCACCTGCAGGGAGGACAGGAGCTGCTGTGAAGGAGGAAAGGCTACAGGAAGAGAGCTTGGCACTCTCATGGCATGTCCTGACTATGGCTACAGAGCCAGCACAAAGCAGACACAGTAGAGGAGCAGTGGGATGCCACAGGAGAGCTGGGGATCTGCACTAGATTCACTCCCAACACGGGGAACATAGGGAGCAAACGCAGCAAGATTTCTTACAAGAGCTCAGATGTGTGGAGTTGGGTCAGGAAGGAGAAGACAGAATGAACAGAAGTTAAAGCCAGGATTAAGACAGGGGCTGGATGCTTTCAGAGTTTCTGGATCTCTGCTTTTCTTGGGATGCTGGGTTTTGGAGGGCAAGGACTTCACACTGAATCCTACCACACAAGCACCTCAAATCCTGCCTCCAAGCACAGGCAGACAGGGAAAACCAAGAGAAGCTGCACCTGAGGCCCATCTCCTGCCCACCAAGGCTCCCAGCTCAGGCCTTGCAGCTTGGTCTCCCTTGCAGAAGAGGGTTTCCCTGCTGGCCCTGTTTTGGGAAGCCCAGCAAGGGGGCCGGGCAGAGGGGGCTCACCTGCTGCCGGGCAGGGAGGCCTGGTGGGGCCAGCTCCATGACCTTGGCTGACAGCTCTGCCTGGATGCCAGCCATGCCCTCGTAGCGCTGCTCCCTGTGCAGGGCCACCGTCAGCAGGCGCCCGAAGCCTGCGCTGGCCGCCAGCTGCCTCCGCCCTTCCTCCGTCCCAAAGAGCCACTCGGTCTCTCTACCCTGTGGGACTGCAGAAGGGGCTGCCATCAGCCTGGGCTGCTCCTGGCCCTCGAGCCACCAAGGGAGGAGCCACAGGGAATGGCAAGACATTTAAGGGAGGTATCACTGCTTGGCTAGAGCCGTGCACCGCCACCATCAAGAGAGC